AGTCCATCCAAGTGGATTAATCCACTATCAGTCTACACCCAGTGAGTCCATCCAAGAAAGCAAACAAACATCAACACCCCACAAGGAACACAGTCAAATGACCTGGGCTGAGATCTCCAAAACCTCTTTTCTCTATAACTCGATCGCCTCCGGTGTCTGTCATAGTGATGGAAAGCTGAACGGTGACAGGTACCATGACCTCTAGAGGTCCAGCCCAGCCTCTATCCATAAGGAGACAGAGTCTCTGAGAAGGAGAACCTCGTCTCTGGTCCTTCCCGGGGACTGTGGCGCTATTTTCTGCACAGCCACATAAATCCAGATGAGACTGGAGAGGAATCACCCCCGGCAGCCGGCGGGGGCTTGGCATTTTGTCAGGGCGGCCATGAAATGCCACTTCCCGCAAGGCCCAGCGCAAGCACAGAGCCGTAAACAGTTGGAAAGGTCACAGCCTGGACGTCTGGGAAGCCCAGGGGCAGGCGAGCTTCACAGCCCAGAGTTTTGCAGAAGAAAAAGTGCTTTCCCCTGAACACAGTCCTTTTCTCTTTCTTGCAGTGACAAGGACCCCAGCTCTGAATGACACACTCGGGCAAAGCTAAGGAGCCAGTGCCACCGACACCATCATCCCACTGGGCTCCTCGGGGAATGGAAGATCCGAGTGTGTGTAGGTTTGGAGTCCCAACAGGGGGCTTGCATCCTGGACCTTGTGGGACACCAGCTAAGTTCCATGTCACCAGGGCAGGCTGTGTTGTCCCTTATTGTCCTCCAGAGAGCAAATATCCAACCCTGTGCTTTCTCGGTTTCATTTATTTCCGTAAATAGGACGGTCCCTCCATTTTTTCCTGCAAATGCCATCATTGCAACCTTCTTCATGGCTGAGTAATACTCTGTTGTGTATACAGACCACATTTTGTTTACCCCTCCATCGGTGGCGGGCACCGAGGCTGGCTGCACAGTCGGGCTATTGTGAGTCACAGGGCTGTCACAGGCTGAGGTCAGGGGCAAAGATGGTCCAAGAGGCCCCACAGTCCAAGAGGCTGAGCCCCAGAGCAAGAGGCATCCGCGGTGCTACCCGAGGCCAGACCCAAGGCTTCTGGAAACTCCCTGCAGAATCACTGGACAGTCCACCTGGGAAGAGGGAAGGGGCCAGAGGAGCAGCCGCGGGAGCCCCTTGGAGAAGAACCAGGCTCGCACCTGCAGCCGCTTTTATTCCAAGGAAGCCTCCATCCTATTGGACGGTGCTGCCCCCGCGTGGGGAGGGCGTCCTCTCCAGTTGGCTGTCCCACATGCCAATCATTCCTAGACACACGCCCCCCCCATTGCCACGCCCACAAGCCTCTGGATCATCACGTGTCTCAATGCGATCAAGTCAGCGATTCCATTAACCTGCTCCGACTGGTAACTGGGCAGAAAAAACTGGACACGGGTTATAAAAATTGCACTTTTACTGGACATGCACAGATTTATTTATTTGTTTTGGGGGGTGGAAGAGCTTGGGGAGGTGGACAAGACTCATGGGCTTGGAGGGGACCCTTCAGAGTCCGAAGCCTGCAATAATGGCTCTGGGAATCTGGGCTCTGGAAGGAGGTGGGCCCTGGGGAGTCTCTGGGCAGCACCATGTCCACCCCAGCTGGACTGCTCCTTCTAATCCCTGAAACGGGGAGTCCTCCACGCTGAGAGGCTGCATGGGGTCCCCTGAGGACTTCAGCTCCCTTTCTGAGCCTGACCCAGGCTGACCGTCAGATTCGCTTCTGTCTTTGGGGTGCCCACAGGATGGACAGATGCTTCGGGGTGTGTCCCTCTCCCCACCCCCAAATTCAGGCAGCTCCGTGGTGCTGGCCTCGTCTGCTTGGGGGAGAGATGGGACTGAGGTGGCCTTGTGTCCCTGCTCCAGGGTGAGGGCCAGGCCTGGGAGAGACCGGGGTGGGGGACACCCAGGGCAGAGTGGAAGGGAGGTCAGGAGAGGACAGTGCCCAGATGCCCACAGTGCAGAGGACACCTTCAGGACAGAGTCTGCCCTGGAGCCATGGGGCAATACACTCACCAGGAACCACCATGCACACAACCTCTCGGTCACTGACCAAACATCACCACAGGGGTGGGACTTCATTCAGTGGCCCATGACGCTTTAGCTTCACCTTCCCATGACGTGGGGTGTTTGGCGTCATTTGAAGACTCATCTCCATGATTTGCCTCCATCTCTTGGATGCAACGTCTGTTCCAACCCTTCGCCTGTTTGAAAAACTCCTTTGCTTGTTATTGATTCCTAAGAACTCTTTACATATTCAAGTCTGTCTTTCCTTGTCACATATGTATCTTGCACACATCAAAACATATGGATTATAGAACAAATACCTCTCTCCTGCCTCAGCCTCCAGAGTCACTTCGGTGACAGCCAGCCGGGTGTCCCCGTGCCTGGCAGATAGGATTTATTTTAGGTGGATGATTCTGATTTAGGAGCATTGCACAGGTCTGCGTTGTCTTGGTGTCGACGTCCACCCGG